TAAAGGAAATTTTCTCCATCTAATTTTCTGGTCTTTACTCCCTTATTAGCTTCTGACTTACAGCTCTTCATAGTATCTATTTATTAATTTACACTCTATCTCGATTCCAAAAGGACATGAAGTGGTATCTTATCACATATAGTATTAAAAGACATGGTAATTGAAATCTTCAGTTAATCCCCAAAATGCCATGTAGTTGAAAGAGCGCTGCACTGGAAGCCAAAAGACATAGGGTCCAACTCTAGTTCTTTACCCAACCAGTTATTTGACATCAGAGCACACATTTGCTTATTTGTAAAATAATGTCAATTGTCTAGAGAACTGCTAATTATGAAATCCTATTCTATTTCCAGAACCAGCACTTTACAAAAGGTGTTGTCAGGGGCACTATGAATTCTTGAGGGGAAGTGGGTCTCTTCACTACAGGACTTCTAAAAGGCATCAGGATTCTCTGTTGCCTACTCAACAGCCTTCTGTATTCCTTCCTTCCCTACTAGCATAATCCACCTTACCTGTACAAAGAGTGAACATGAATAAATTAGAAGAGCGTCTAAAACTTAAATGCTCAATAAACGTCATTTGTTAATTAACTACAATCACATAGTTGTTGAAATCCTAAATCATGTTCAGAAGTACCATGGGGCTCCAAAGAAGACTTGGAAAAATCCCTGAACTGGCTGACTTTAAAGTTCAAGTGGACTCTGTGAATATGAGTCTGTGCCATTCTCCCTGGCATTTGTTCTACAGCAAGTCTCTTCTTTTAAATAGATTTTTAAGTTAGCAATCTCTAGGCTATACAGTAGGAAGCACTGGCCAATTTCAGAAACAGAATCTTAAAGTGTTAGCCCAAACTAGCAAATCATTCTGCATCAGGACTTAGACATTTAGCATTACATTAGAAAATCCATTGGGGTGCGGGATGGGGGTGGCCTGGGTGGCTCAGTCGGTTAAGCATCTGACTTTGGCTCGGGTCATATTCTCAGGATCCTGGGATCCAGCCCCTCATTGGGCTCCCTGCAGAGCAGGGAGTCTGCCTCTCCCTTTCCTTCTGCCCCTCCCCCAGCTTGTGCACGCGCTCTCTCTCTCAAATAAATAAATACAATCTTTAAAAAAAGAAAAAAGAAAAGGAAAAGAAAATCCATTGGGAAAATAAATGGCAAGAAATAATTTAGATGAATGAAGTTGGAATTTTGTAGATGCCCAATTGATTTGAAACTCCTCCTATAAATAAAAATATATACCCCATTAGCTTATAGGGTATATGACTGAAATCTTTTAGGTCAGTAGAAGATTTCTTCAATTCATCTTTGTAACTCATCATTACTGAATGAAGTATTAAGAAATGTATTTATTGCATACCTATTGTACCATCTTGAAGGTGTGCACAAGGCTTTACAAACACAGTCATATTTGGGTTTGAATTTAAAAAGTGCAGACCAAGTTCACCAAGTAGAAAAGAGGCAAAGGGAGGATCAAGGTGAAGAGGCTAGCACCTCTACAGAGGCCTGAAAGACATCAGATTTGAGGAATGGCAAGTGGTTCCTGGGTGCCTGCAGGTTAACAGAACTGTGGAAGAGGGGCCAGCAATAAAGGTGGGCAGACAGGAAGTAGGCAGCTTGTGAAGAACCTGTAAATATGAACTTCTGGCATATTCTGGGCGTAAGTATTTCATCTTGGAAGAAAAAGAAAAGGAGGGGCTGAGCTCTGTATGCATATGGGGAATGTTGTTGGCTTTTAACAGAGTATCGTTAATCATCATCTTGTGTTGGACAATGATATAAAAATTATACTGAATATCGGGCATATTTTTATTTCAGATATCAATACAATACAAATTTTTGGTGATTAATATGACCCAATCATAAAAATGTGTTGATTCCTATTATTTGTTAAATGGTATCTTGATCAGAGATATAAGCGTGCGAGCTGATAACGATTAAATTCCCCATCTTCTTGAATGGGGCTTAAGAATTTGACAATCCGTGAGAATAAGCCCTGTGTCTGCTATACCAGCCTATGCAAATGAGCCCCAGGAGAAGTAGAACCAGTTCCAATGGCCTCTGGGAGCTGAGTGGGGAGCTGAGGTGAAGGGCTGGGGCTCGGCGTTTTATATGCACCCCGTTATGGTGAATCACTGGGACACAAGTGCTACTCCCCCCCAGCCACCCACGCCCCTCCATCAAGCAGGATCTCAGGGTGGGCTTGACAGCACGACCAGGTCACATTCCCCCCAGCAGCCGTGAGCATTGCGTCTGCTGCCAGCCATATCCCTGGCATATCTGCCCCATCTGCGACCACACCCTGACCTGAGGGCAACAAAAGGAAAGGAAAACAGAGTAGTCAGACACCAAAGCAGGCTGGGTTGCTTCCTTCTCTAGTTTCTCTGAGAAACTTGATAAATGTTTTTCCCTTCTTTGCTTTCAAAGTTCCAGGAATGAAAAGTGCTCAATCTGCTGGACCCATGAGGGAGGATAAGGGATGACTTTTTTTTCATCATTCATCCCTGCCCAGATTCCTCCTGCTAATTCCGAGGAACCATCTGCATCAGTCTGCTAATGAGTTTGGACATGGCTCTTCGCGCACTAGGAAGCCACTGGAAGTTGTTACGCAGGGAGTTATATAATCAGATTTGTGATTTAGAAAGGCAGCTCCGGCAGAAGCTGGGATTGGAGAAAGCAGGCCCTGGGAAGAAAGAGGTCAGCTTGAGGCCTCCGTGACTGAGTGATGAGCAAGCTCTGTCCCGCTGTAATGGTGGGGTGCATGAAGGCGGAAGGACGTGAGGCTGGCCGTCAGGAGAGGGGTGGGAAGCGGAGGTGAGGCCGGGGCTTCAGACCCCATGGTTGGAAGGCAACACTGACCACCCAGTGAGGACGGTTAGCTAATCTCATCACATCATCCACACTACTACGTGAAATGGATCCCAAGCTGGGAAGGTAAGCACTTTTCAGGGTTTAGATACCTATTCACAAAGTACACCCCAGAAAAAGCATATCAATGTATTCTTTTACTACTAGCCTATGAGAGACAGCACAGGAAAATGGTTCCTGACACTGGAGCCAGGAAGGGTTCAAATCCTGGCTTTGCCATCTAATCGCTATGTGATTTGGGATAAATTACTTCAGTACTATGTGCCTGTGTCCTCACCTCTTAAATGAGGGGAATAACAGAACCCAGCTAAGTATCGTGAGGCTTAGATGAGTTGTCATGAGACGTCTGGGTGGCTCAGTCAGTTAAGTGTCTGCCTTTGGCTCAGGTCATGATCCTGGAGTCCCGGGATCGAGTCCCACATCGGGCTCCCTGCTCAGCGGGGAGTCTGCTTCTCCCTCTGCCCCTCTCCCCTCTCATGGACCTGCGCTCTCTGTCTGGAAAAAAAAAAATCTTTAAAAAAAATCCTTAAAAAAAAATGAGCTGTCATAAGCAAAGATTTAGAACACTTGGTGCACTGTTCTGAGCTCAGTGCCTGGCATATAGGCCCCACTTAATAAAGATTCTCCCTCTCTCTCACCAAAAATTAGTACTAAAGGAAAAAATTCACTTTCAAAGAAAAAGAACCTCAGCTTACCGTTCTTCCTGATTTCAACATTATATTGCTTAGACAGTTCAACAAAAGAAGCTGAGAAAGCTTAAGAAAAACAAACTTTTTTTTTTCCCCCTGAGAAAACTCCTAAGAGAAGACAGAAACAAATTCCCCAGCACAGGGTACTCTAAGGTTCAGCCGTTTGAAGACCACACAGTGCTTGCTTATAAATAGAATATCAAAACAAGCAAGAGCAATTTTCTCCTTTCGTCTTCCCTTATTGCCTAATTTCCCTCCCATACCATTTGCATAATGGCTAAAAAGGCACCATTATGCAAATGAATGATAGGGCGGTGAGGTTGCTGAAGCCACAAACCTCTGCTGTGGATGGAGCGAGGCTGCCACGGAGCCCTGGGTTGTCCGCATTCCAGCACACCACATCACTAGCTGGGTTTCCAAGGGATAGAGGAGCATCATGAAGATCAGAGGTCATAAATTTCCACTTGGTTTATTATAAAAGCGGCACCACAGATGCTTTCCAGAAAATTAGTACCAAATACGGATATTCAGTATTGTGGTATGTAAAATACACTTTCCAGTAAACATTTTGTTTCAGATGGGAAAACCCAGTACTCTGCAGGACTATGATTTTAAGCATATACTTTGCTTTGCAAAGCAAGGAGTCCCCTTGCAGAGTAGTAAAAGCCTCTGTTCTTCTACCTGGATAATTAACCTATATAACAGGTGCTCAGAGCAGTCTCAAAACATATGCAAACATTCAAAAGGAATGAAAATTTGTTTTTAAGTACCAAAATGTTAGTGGCTTTTTCAAAAGCTTCGCGCTGTTAAACTGACCTAAATTTATCTCTAAGAGGCATCACCGAAAACTGACATTGCTCTTGGAGATGTAAATTCACTGAAACTTGAGAAGAATGTTTATTTTTCTCCCAATGCCTTCAAAACAAAAATGAAGAACTCTGAACAAAATTACTGGGTAGGTGGTTCTTGCTGGAATAAATCAGTAGGATAGAATTAAGAGACTATCTTCAAGATGTTTTCCCCAAAGTCTGAGATACATCGTTTGAGGAGAAAAAGAAGGTGGCTGAAACAGAAAGTGACCTCTATTCCTAGTCTGAATTCCTTGGTAACTGTTAGCTTTTGCCAGATGACCCTTTTCAGAGACATTTTTTAAGTGACCCTCATAGGCTATAGATGAACCCCATCACTTACAGACCAGCCTGTCCCATAGGATACTGCAGGAGCAAGCAATTCAGATCCACCCACCATTCAAGAAAAAAACCATATCACCTTGTTTGAGCATCCGCAGCTACAAAGAGCTATGTAAAAATAATTTAAAGAAAAGACAAACCAGATTTTTAAAGAAAGACACTAAGAGGCTAAGTCATATAGTAGAAGCAACTCATAATCAGCAAGATGATGCATTTCAACCAGGTGAAGAGCATACCAGTGAAAATACACATACCTAATTTCAGAGCAGAAGGGGTTACTTCAATTTCCCCACCAATTGGTTTAAATGCAGCCAACTGGGCAGCCACCTCCGTCTCAAAGGCATCTGGGCTCTGCCGACCTGCAGGGTTTCCACTGGGGCTCTCAATCTTGTGAAGTGGTTCTTGTTCATCAAACACAGCAATCAGCTATGAACAAATCCAACAACACTAATTACTTTGAATGGCATGCATATCACACAACACTGTATCTAGCTGATTGTGATCTTTCTTTGATTTTAAGGAAAATGGCCTCTGAAAACTTGTAACTTGGACGTTACTGTACCACAACTCTCAATGCAATATTATGTCTGTAAGGACAGTGGCAGGATTTCCTTAATGGTTTATCTATTCTTGAAATAAAGAACCTATTTTGGCTGTCTCGAAGGAAGGAAATGGCTGCCCCTTCCCCACGCCACCTTTTCCAATATGCCAAAAAGGACTTCAGTATTTTTTTAAGAGGGTTTCCAGAAACAAAAGTTGAATATGCAAAAGCTGAACAACAGATCTACAGGGTAAAAGAGGCCATTCCAGTCTCAGAGAGCTAAGATTTTATAAAATCCACAATTACAGCTGTCCTTTTAGACACAATCACAATATATGTGCATATTTCCATACAATGTGTTCACTTTGTACACACAGATATCCCCTTTTTATATATCCCTTTAATTTTGTTCTCTTCCTTCATGACACTATGTTGACTGGTTTAAGTCCAATGAATGTCAAGTCCAATGAGACTACACATCAGCACTTTTAAACAAATCATTCCCATCTTCATCTCAATTTTGTTTTGTATGAAAACTGTTTCTTGTCCTTAACATAAAAACATTTAATTGTCCATTTCCAAGTCATTTTTCATAAAGGGCAAAATACAATAAAATATTCATTGCACAAACATTGCTGTACGAACAGCGAGGACAGTCCTGATGAAACTGTGTTTTTGGCCGGCAGACAGCACCACCATAGAACGACTTCGCATGCTGCTCATCAGGTGATGTGGAAAAGTCCAAGTGTGTGTGTAGTAGGCAGCGCGGGGATGTGACTGTCAACCCAACAAAGGACAGTGTGTGCAAATCTGAAACCTGCTAGGAAATCTTTAGATATTTTTCATTCATTAAATAAAACAAACCTACTTATGATTCAAACATTTATTCAGGAAAGGCACTCAAAGGCCCATTCATAGGGGAATCTTGTTAGCAATAGTATTAATAACACAAATGCAGGAGTAATCAATCAAAACATCATAAATTCCAAGTTCAGTCTTTCAAAAGAAATGAATACAATTAGGGATATGCAAATTGACTATTCAAAAATAATTTTCATAACTGACTACGCATTTCCAGTATGGAGACTTCTTTAATTGGAAAATCCAACAATCCTCTTACCACAGGAAAGAAATGCTACTCCCAAGGCATTATTTTTAATTCTTGAAATTGAGCACATACATTTTCTATTTTTAATTGGCAGCACTGATGAACTGATTTGAGAGAAGACTTAAATAGATTAATAATGAAAGATTATTCTAGTATAAAAATAATCAGTAGTTCTGTATCTTTCTAATCATCTGGTCAGAGTGAAGAGCTTAACACTTTGAATCTTGAAAAGGAAAATAAAATCAATTTTTAAAATGTGCTGGAAGTGTTATTTTCATCACTATTTTCGTGACATAATTATAATTTCAGTTTTGCATATTGGTGAATTCTAACACATCTTAGTAACATTTATTTTAATTGCCAATTGGCGAGGCAAAGTGGCTTATTATACTGGTTCTACGAACACTTTTGTGTAAGTTAAGACTAGTACCTTACTTTTCCTCTTGCTACATCCTTAACTGCTAATATATGTACTGTGCCTTAAATACTGGGGAAAAGAGAAAAAAATAATAGAATAGCAATCTAGAGTATAATACAGAATCTTAAAACTGAAAACTCATAAATCATTACCTATGTTTGTTATATAACCCTTCCTCCTTAAGATACTTTACTGTTTTCCATACCTTCATATCTACACAAGTTTATAGCATATGTAATAAGAATGGTACACCTATTTATCAAATGAGAGAACACAACAGTTCAGAGATTTTGTTTCCCAAAGGGATATACTAAATAGTAATGAGTACAAGAATCCAGTCTTTTTAAATTTCCTACCCAGGGTTTCAGACCACAGTGTGACTGTTTTCCAAAATGAAAACTGTAAAAAGAGAGGCTACGTTGTCAAATATATGTGGTTTTCCCATTAGGATGTTATGTCCTAATGAATACGGTAGACACAGAAAAGGCATTACATGACTCTTCACAAAGATGATGATAAGATGAACTGGAGCAGCCCCAAATCTCACGGTCTGTCTCCCAATCCCATAACTGACAGGAATTATCACCAGAGAGTCTACTCTGGATGTGTGGATGAATGAATGAATGAACGAACGGGTCTCTATTCCTGGAAAGAAGAGGTTCAGTTCCTGAATCTGTGGTGCCCAAATGGAGTCATTGGGTCCACTGGTGCTGGCTGCTGAGTGACTCACCATGGGCTCTTCACCTCAACATCCACAACATGCACAGAACTTACACTCGCTTCAACATCGACAATTTATTTAGCTGTACACATTGCAGGTGCTTATTAGCTAGATTACTTGACTCATCAGAACATCTACATTCCTGGGTAACAGAGTTCCCAGCAGACAGTGTTACAGAGATGCATTAATTAACATAAACCACTGTTCTAGTCCCTCAATAGAAGGAAGCCATGCTGATTTCCAAAGCGTCCAGTGCAGGAAAATGGCCTCTCCTCCCTGACCTTACACCCATTACAAATTACCTTTCCCACAGAGATGAGATGGACATGAAAGAAGGAATTCTATTGAAAGTTTTCTGTTGTTAAGGTTTCACCTAGACTACACTTCTAAGGCATACGGAAGATTTTTCACTGACATGGTAGGGCCTATACTGACCTAAATGCTATGCAAAATGCAAACAAGCAATATTTCATTTGGATGCCTTCCTCCTCTGCTGCTTTATCCATCTTCTGGTGACCCTTCTGTTCTCCTTCCATAATGTCAGTATTCTCATGTCACCCAGTGCAACACCGACATTTCCCAAAGACCCCATAATTCAAGTTCTTTTCACACAGCCATTATTCCCAATCAAAACTTCTGTCTGCACAGATCTCTGTCAGTATGTAGGCATCTTATCCCCAAAGAGACACAGGAAGGTTAGTCCACAAATATGCTATTCATTCTCCCACTCAAAACAAAAATAGAAACAAACAACCTTCTCAGGACCCCTACAGATACCATACCCATTTCTCAACTTTCCTTGAAAGCAAAATCTGAAAGAGCTGTCCACAGAGCAAATTTCCAGTCTCTCTCCTCCCATTCTTTGCTGAGACCACACTAGTCAGGCTCTCGCCCCTCCACCCCATGGAAACTGTTCTTATCAAGGTCAAAAACAAATCTTCAGGTAGCTAAATCCCAAGCCACTTTTCTGGCTTGATTTAAGGAGACGGTTGATCACTACCCTCTTCCTTAAATTATTTTCTTCACTTGCCTTCCCGAACATCTTCAATTCTCTGGGCCCTCCATTAAATTTCCTTTTACTTATCCTCCTTGTCTCTAAAAATGTGAAATATGTCTAAATTTTTTTTTGGACACCTCATCTGTCTCATGGCATACATGTAAGTATATGCTGATAACTTCCAAACTGAAACCTTCAACCAAGAGCTGCTTCTTGAACTCCAGGATCATATGGTCCACTGTCTAAAGTAACATGTCAAAACTGAAAAACTGACCTTCCAAAGCTCTTTCCATAATCTTTTTACATCTCAATTAACGGCACCCCATTCTTCCAACTGCTCAGGATAAAAGCCTCCTATCAATCCTTGATGCCTTTTTCCTTCCTTCCCTTCCTCCCTCTGTCTCTCATACACCCCCCACACAACCAATTTGCCAACCAATCTCGAAATATAGTCAGAGTTTAACTGCTTCTCACCCCTCCACTCTCACCACTTTGGACCCCACTCCCAGTCTCTCCCGTGGATTATGACGACAATTTCCTGTCTGGTCTCATTGTTTCTACCCATGTTCCCTTTCAGTTCATTCTCAACACAGCAGCCGGACTGACCCTACTAAAACGCAAGGCAGGTCATGTCTCTCCTCTGATCAGTTGCCTTCCCGTGTCACTTACAGTGAAGCTCAAGTCCTTGCAATGGACTCTCCGGTCATGGGCTCCCTGTGAAACTTCTGACCTCACGTTCTGAGTACATTCTCCCCTGCTGTCTGGATTCCATCCAGCTATGATTTCTTCTTCTTTGTTCTTGACTCAGTGTCTTTGCATTTGCTGTCCCCTCTGTCCCTTCGCTCCCTGAAGCAGTCTTCCCCCAGACACACACATGGCTTGTTTCCCTATCCTTCCCAACTTTACTCAAACACCACACGTCTGTGTTGCAACGTCACTACAACTTCCTACCCTCTCTTCCTTTTCTTCGGTAGCATTTATCACCCTCTCAGTGTTTCATCTTTTCTTGTTCATCTTAGCTATTGCTGGTCTTCTCACGGTACTAGAATATAAGCTCCAAGAAAACAGTGATTTCTGTCTTTTTTGTTGTATTCCCATCACCTAGAATGGTGCATATACATAGTAGGCCCTGAACATATATTTGTTGGAATGAGTAAAATGAGGCAAGAACAGACACTAACATCTAAGATAGCAATAAGATAAAAGATCCCTGGATTTTTTCATGTGTTTTCAGAATAAACATTCAAATTATTATTATTTTTTTTTTTAGAAATGAATGAGTATAAACAACCAATACATACCTGTAAGATCCTCCAAGTGTCATTATCATTATTGCTGTTGTTTTGGTTTTGTTATGGGGGAGAAATTCCTCATTTTTCTATTCAACACTGGGAGAAATTGCTTCTGCCACATCAAGCTCCAAAAATAGAGATTATGTGTGTTCTCCTTTCTTTTTCAGGCTCAGTTTTGCAAGGAAGAATCTGTTTCTTTGGTCTCTGAAGGAGCAGAAGTGTCTCACTAGAGGTGTGTGGCAGATGGAGAGGGAGCAGGGATAGCAGTCTGGCGCCAGGCACTCCCTTGCCCACTTTCCTCCAAGACGCCACTTGGATGTACCTGGTGTCAAGCTTCGAGATGTGTGCC